GGTAGGGGGAAGTTCTATTAATCATAAAGTCGTAATGATAACGTTTGATATTAATTTATTATGGGACTGCTATCATAACTGAATTTAAAAAAAAATGAAAATATTTTAATTTTATCTGACCAAAATATCCATATCAAAGCTTTTATTATTTTCTGATGTCTGTTCAGATATTTGAAAATAGTTATGGATTAACAAACACATGTATGTATATTGAAATTTTGTATCTTTTGGAACAATATAACAGGTAAGAATGTCAACTGGAAGCATCGAATCCAAACTTTGTTCGGGTTACAGTGCTGTATACTCGCAAGGAAACAAGCATGTAAGTCTATCTGAACTAAATGGAACATGAAAGGCGGTCATCGAACATAATCCGCCTCTTCTAAACAACGTCATTACTGTTGTGCACTGAAGCCTTTTAATTTCCTCTATTGTTTACCTGATTCTTTATTACCGGAGACGATTGATGTCGACGTTTAATGAATTAGCTAATGCGTCTTCTGTCCTTTCAAGTCCAACAAATGAGTATTGGTGATTGCAACAAAAATCAAAGAACTTAGTACGAAGACTGAAGTCACTTTTTTCCCAACGACACAATGATGTCTTTTTCTTTGTCTTCTTCCAATAATCTGCATACCGCATTTGGCGTATTGTCGCAGATGACATCAGTTCATCTTAGTGAAAGATAAACATAATGTAGTTTTTGCATATAACATTTTGTAATTAAAATCGGATAACAGTGTCCAGTTATATGCTGGCATCGTTCCACATATTGCTTCACAAAAATCGCAAATTTCGTTAATCAAGTTCATAAAAGAAAAGAAAAACAAACAATCAAACACATCCATTAATTATTTTTATGTATATGGTTAGGACTATGTATTACATTAAGAGCTATATTTGTACATAATTATGTGTTATTGTGATTATGGATCAAAACAAGTCATGCTAATGTCTTATAATTTGTGTTACTCTATACAGTGCAGTGTGATATGAAGGGGGACGAGAGTCATTCCTTGTCTTGGGGATAGAGAAGAGCAATATAAAACGTTAGGGTGGTGGAAGTTGCTGAAGCTGAAGCCGTTATGGTTATACAGTAATAATTCAACAGGGATGTGACTTCCTTAAATATCCTGCCGCCCACTGTATATTGCTATTCAAATAGGTCTAAAACCGTAGTCTTAATACAATATCCCGTGCTAAATACTGGAAGCAGCATAGTATTGGATGAAATATCCATTAAAAGGAATTACCAGCATTTGTTATTGGTTCGTGTGTAAATATGAACATATGGACTGACTTTTGTTTTACCGGTACGGTGTAGGTACAAGGCTTGAGGAAAGTAAGTGATTAAATCCCTGATGTGGCTCTGTAAGGCCACTAGGTATGAGTAATTCATGTCTGACATGTTCATATTAGCAGCAGACGACACTGTGAGACTTACCTTCACCCCGTCTCGTGCTCTAACAGTTTACGGGGGAAAGTTTCACGTGTTGACACGAGTTTATCAACCTCCTTCAAAAATAAAGTTCCCAATCGGACCGCTTATGACATTGCGAAAACGCTCCAAATTGTTCTCAGCTAAGGATGTCCTCAAGTTACACGAGGAATGTTTTTACAAGCTATATTTGAGGAAATCTCAGTTAAGGAAATCTCAACTTAAGGACATTTCAAGTTGAGTTTTTTTTTTTAATATACAAGCGGGGCCAGATAAGCAACCATTACACAACTCTGAAAATCATTAGCAGTAGCAATGTTTATAACGCTGTTTTGCAGGAGTTTTTCGGTTTTGTTTTGTTAAATTTATAGACTTTCATGAAATATTTTTAATGTTTCGCCTTTGTTTCTCAACTTATGTGCGACTTTCGCAAAAACATAACAACTGAAAGAACCATGGCGGATAACAATCCACATTTCCTAAAGTCGGCATTTATGAAAACGGGACAAAAGATAATGAGTCAACAATTTCTATAGAAGCGAAAATGTAAAGAATAGATATAAAACCAATTGAATATGAGATTTTGAACTGATGATATACAATTACAATAGTGTAGGTACATGTATTGTTGATATAATACTGCAAAAATAACCAACATCACTACATCTATGGAAGTGATGGAATATCCCAGTCCCCCTTTGGGAACGTGCTCAAAATAATGAAACACAGGTATACATGTGTTTCTTGTGTTAAATCATTTGGTATTGTCATATTGGTTGATGTCCGATGTAGCCGAATGTGTACGCTGTTAACTTGTTAGTGAACGGTGCAGGTTCGAACCCATGTTGAGATTCAACATTTTTGAATATTTAGGCATGTGATATTTTTTCCTAGTTAAGTAATAACATATTTTTCAAAAGGATGGAACATTTTATTCGTATTTTAATAACATACCTAAGGATTAATAGTCCAAAGAGCCAGGCCAACAAACTCGTGTACACGTAAACAGTACAGCTGCGCTTTTAGGCGAGACTAAAACATCATGTTAAGGTCATATGAGTGTATTGCTAAACGGAAATAGGAAGTACATCCCTAGTTGAAAATCCAAAGTAGGGAGACAGTATCACAATTTCCGCATATTCTAATGTTTTACATTAAACTAATGAATATTGTATGTTTATTATTGACAGAACAGTGTGTATTTCAATATTAAAGTATTTCAAAGCAATCCAGGCATTCATTCAGTTGTTTTTTAATCAATGAGTCACATGTGTCCATTGTTCTGTACTTCAGGAAACCGGCTATCTATTTCACTACTGTGAAGTTTTTCAAGAACGATAACTCTTAGATGCAATTACTATGTGTCTATGGTTTTATTATAAAATGTCAATTTTTAATCGATTATAGATAATTAATTTTATACAATTTTCAGCATTTATGAAATTGATATACATTAATGCAATACTAATCTATGTCAGTATCATTTTTATTGACATTATTTTGCAAAACATTGTGTGTTTCATTTTTTTCTTTCTCCAAAATTCACTCCGTTTTACATTAATTTCCATTTAAAATCCTTAAAATTCTGACAAGCAAGAAAAATGAGAGGTTATTATCGCAAATATTTTAACGCAAATGCGGGAAAAGTTTGAAATGCAGGAAGACTGCAACACAAACTAATGAACGCAAAACACTTGTAGGATATATGCTATTCCAAAATTATATGTAATTTTGCCATTCAAAGGTGCTGGAAGAACAAAATCAGATGTGAGTTTTGTAAGAAAACAAAAAATGGCATGACACAGGCAGTAGTGATGAAAATTAAATACTTTCAAATTTGTTTGTAATGATTGCACGACCTTGTGTTACACACAGCGTATGATCTGTTATAAAATAATATAAATGTGATGGAATAATTAAAAACGATGGATTTTTATTCGTCTGTTTACAATAATGTATTCTTAGTCATAGGATTTCATTAGAGGTACCTGTATCTAAATACCTGAGGGCGCGTCATAACGGTCCACGGTAAAACGCCGGCACTTGCGGATTATTGCTTTTGGGGGAATAGGCATAGAAACACGCCACAGTTCTTTAAAAATGAGGAAGTTTGCGTTTGGTCACTTCCATCTAAGCATGATGGGTCATCTTTCTTCATTAATCCACGGTCTGCGCGAAAACTAACAGAATAATTTACATATATCTAACCAGCTTCATTCTGGAGCATCATACATGTTGGCAGTTATAATAAATGTTCATCCAACCGGCTTCATTCTGGAACATCACATATGTTGGCAGTTCTAATATATCTAACCAGCTTCATTCTTGTTAAACATCATTCATGTTGGCAGTTATAATATATCTAACCAGCTTCATTCTTCTTAAACATCATTCATGTTGGCAGTTATAATATATCTAACCAACTTCATTCTGAAAAATCAAATGATTAGGGCATTGCCTTTTTGAAAGGTAAAAACCTGCCCGAGACATTGTTTCTAAATGGCAAACTATAGAGAACTAAAGCTGTAGGGAATGGTGTCGACATTATCATCAGGATACTACTCAAAATATATTTAAGCCAACGAAAGAAATATAGAACTAAGAAAATGTGAAATCGCCGGGAATATCTCAGTGTCTTACAATACATGAAAATCTTAGTGATTCAGTCAGTAAAAAAAATATCGTCAACTTTTATAGGTACAATATACATATGTTGCTTAGAAAGGGGCGCCCTCGGGTCATGTTCTCACTTACAATCTCCTACATTGTATGTGTGTCTATCTAGTCAACCTTAATCGATAATATTGTATTGATGTATACACTTTATATATGCAAATTGATGGCTTACGGGTAATGCAATGATTTGAAGGTTTCAATATAGAAAATCAGTGTTTGTATGCTTCAAATAATAATCATCCTTCGTCTCGGGGAAATATGCTATATCATTCAATACTTTCTCTGTTGACTTTGTAGTTTGACCTTCTGCAATACAGTGAAGCGAGGATGGGTATTTCATGGGTTTTTTGTGTGTGTAGGTAGGTAGCAACATAGAATTGTCCGCACCCCAAGTCCACTCCGATACTAGATCGCCTTTGTCGATAGATCTTCTGATTGGAGGGTATCTAAAATTGAATTTCAGTACGTCATCACGGTGACCACCTTCATCAGACTGACCACTACTACAATAATTATATGCAAACAGCCATCAGATAGGGCCCACCACCAGCCCCTTCAGTCATCACAAAACAATCCATGTTCCAGATGGGTGCTTTCGAAACACCTCTGGCAAATATTAGCCATTGTTTCGTACCTTGTGACTCAGATGTCGGTATCTGGCGGGCGTTCGGAAATAACGTCAGTGCAATGAAGCGTTTTTGACAATGCGGAATCTTTCTGTATCTGTACAATATAAATTGAACGTCGCTAGACAGTCCTATACGCTTACACACAAGGTGCCATAATTAGAATAGTAACCTTAACTTGGAATATATACAATTAAGAAAAGGAATGTAATCGTGGAATTAAACTTTTTTTTCGTATTCAAAATATTACGATTCTAAAGATGGAGGTAAGTTCTGTTCCTAATAGTTTTAAATGTAAAAAAGAAAAATTACTTATAAGTTTTGTGGCTCGAAATGAGTGATGTTTGATCCGTCTTCTATGCTGTAAGCGCCTATCTTCATTTATTTATGGGTAATATCTATTTAGCTATTTCGAAACCGCTAAATTAAGATAACCTCTGCATAGAAATCAGTTTATTCCTAAGTGATAAAGTAACTTTTGCGCTACTTTATATAATATATATAAAAATATGGAACTGTGAGTGCGTTATAGAATGTATATTTATATGTATATACGTTTACAGCAATAGGTACTCACGGAGAGGTTATATTATCTCTAATTACATCCATGGTTTTCCTCTATTTTAGCAGTCAATTATAATACCGATTTCATGATCAATGTCATTCTTTTTCACAGTATCGCATACCAGTATCATTTCGATACCCATGATTAGTTGATATCAATGACGGATTTGCACCTATTATAGGTTCAGGTAAAAACAATAGAGCTAACATAATCACAATTAATGTGTTTCAACTTTGGCTAGCTCGTCAAAATGCGTTAAACAACGGCACATAACGTTTACACATTTTTTCAATGTTGAACAATAACGAATTGCTCATTTAAAATGTTAGACTCTCCCAAACGCGATCAGAAATTTTCCCGTGAAGTTCAATGCGCTATTTGATGTCTACGTATACAAAAAGTGCATTTAACGGAATCTAGTAATATTTGTATATAAACGCGTAAATATGTACTGTATAGCAGTTCATTGAAATGTATCACAACATCTGTATTGCTCTATTACCTATTTCAGAGGCACCAGAGAGTCTTTTTTAAATAATTCTTACTCCCACTTAGGTTGTACAACTTATGAAACAGAAATGTTAGAGAAAGCCTAAAGAGAAGCTACTTGTATTAACTTGTATTGATTTATTGATTTAAACATATTTTATTGTAATTTATATACAATGGGAGTTGGGCACAAGTTTTACAACTTATATTAAGCCCTTTCCCTACAATATATTACTACAAATTATCAAGATGGCATATAACATATAAATTTACATTTGCTTTAATTGAGAGAGAGAGAGAGAGAGAGAGAGAGAGAGAGAGAGAGAAAGCTTGTATTATAATTGGACTTCATTCATATACCCGATTTGAGAATTTTCTTTTTTGAAACTGTTCTAGAAACTCTTTCGAATTGAAGAAAACGCAGAAAACTCTAACTTTTGTATAAAAAGCACAACGAATTAACTCCGGACTTTTTAAATGATCTATAGCCGCCTACCGTTCAGAAAATAGCCGTTACGCCCTCAGAAACAATAATTATTATATAATTCTCCTTTTCAGGCTTTTTCTAACAAATTCATCTTTTTCAAATAAAACTTAGACATTAGTGTAGTCCACTTAAGTATGATCTTTATAGAGTAAATCTGGTTGGTTGTCCAGTTTGTTATTGTGCTCCAAAATTTGAATGCCTTGCATGTTGATTTCAAATTATAATTACTTTTGGTTGGTAATACTCGACTTTCGGTAGAAATAAATATAAACATTATAAGACAAGTGCATCATTTTTCCTTATTTTTCTGTATGTGTGTACTTTGTTATATGTGTTTTTTGAAATTGCACTTCTTAATTTTGCCTGATTTCTTTGTTACATGGATTCTATTCATTTTGAAATTACTCTACCAGGTTTCATGTCATGACATTTGTATAATTTGTAATTTATTCAAATGCGGATAAATTTAACAGTTTNCCCATCCCCCACCCCCACCCCCTTCCTTCTCCATCTATTCTTCTCCCTCTCATAAAAAAACATAAACAGTATTTTTACCGGCCGCCTACGTAGAAGGCCGGGGTGTTAACCACTAGACCAATCAGTCCATAAATGGTTTATTGTCGGATACATCACTAGATTATTGTGTGGATGTAGACCTCCAGTGGTGTGTATTCTGTATTGCACACATCAGCAGATGTGTTCGTCCGCGTGATACATTCGTGCTATATACGACGTTGGTAATTACATTTATTTATCCTATATATCGTGTATCGTAACATAATGTACAAAATTTGTCTTACCTCTTTTTGTGTGTGTGTTTTCAGGTTATGATGTTTCTCCAGATAGTTTTGGCAGCCTTGTGGTTTTCGCAAAATATCTCGGCTGTGCCCATCAACCGAGAGAATTTCGGTACGTGCTTAAACTTTTAAGCTCTTATACACTTTCAAAGTTTTTTCAATTTATGGTAACATAATTTTGAATCTCGTTAGTTTCTTCACTTTGGTGCTGATAGAATGCACGGACGAATAATCATTTAGATAGATTCTGATATAGCGTAACGATATTTTTAGTTTCACGGGATTTTGATAATACATCTGTTCAAGCGTCAGGGTATGTTTGTTCGAACAGTTAATCAAGACAATTTCGTTTACGAAACTTTACTTCCTGTTTTACAAAGGTCTTGAATGCGAACGAGAAGTATCATCGAAGGGAGATAACTACTATGTGCTGACAGTGTTCAACAGCAAGATCGACATGCCTTGCCCACCTGGTACCGTGTACAACAAGCATCTATGTGACTGTGATGACGCCCCTGCAGGTGAGCATGCACATGACGTCATATATTACACTCATTCCTGTCCTGTAGATTTTTTATAAATTTTCGATTGTGAAAATTACCATGCATCACTTTGTGAAGTATGTATTTGGTTTTTGTTTGGAGTATGTTAATTTGCAAGTGTGTAATCTTAGATTATTTGTTTTGTTCTATTTAAGGTCAGCTCGTTAATGATGATAAAACAACAACTACACGATCGACTACAACATCCCAGACAACACAACACACATCTACTGTACCAGAGACAACATCAACATCCACACAACCATTGATGTCAAATACAACAAAATCTACAACGCCGAAAACAACAGCAAAGACAACAACGCTGAAAACAACAGCAAAGACAACAACGCCTAAAACAACAACAAAGACAATAACGCCGAAAACAACAGCAAAGACAATAACACCGAGAACAACAGCAAAGACAACAGAAACGACGCAAATTACAAAAACAAAAGCAACGACACCAACAACTCAAACAACAACAAACGAACCGACAACAACGCCAACAGTTAAGAGTTCTAGTACAACTGTTGCAATTCCCAACACCACCCCTACAACAACACCAACAACAACAACAACAAGAGCAAAAACACAAACTCCGACATCGACAACTCAACAACCAACTACAACAACAAAGATGACAACTGAGGTCATGTCCACGACAGGAAGTGTAACAACCGTATCTGTCCCCTCAACGACCGAAAGTACCACTCCAGGTATGTATATTAACATAGCAGAAATGGTTCTTATAATTTGATATGTTTATCATTAAAACACGTATCATTGACCACTAAAAACTGGAAAACACGTTTGTTTGGTCACTCTTTATTGAAAGACAACTCAAAATCAATGTTTGATAGAAAACGGTCACAAGAAGTAATGTGTTTTTTCATATGACGGTAAACATTTATAACAGTATACATCATGACAACACGAAATATAACCTATGCAAATTGACATCATACATACAATGTGATCCACAGGCAATACGTTTTGCGAAAGAGATCGCGGAAACGGGGATCATTGTACATTTGTAAGACAGGTTTTTCGTCGGACCGTAATTCGTCGATTATGGGGTTTAGATTTGTGATATCTTACTGTGATTGCGATTACATGCTACATTGCACATCGTGCGTGAACTTGAAATTGAAGTTATATCCCGTAACAATTTTTAATTCCTGTGCATCTTTAAAACGTGTCATCGTTTTTGTGTACATTTCAAATTTGTCACCAATGAGTACATAGGTGTGCACAATTTACTTTTCAAATTTGTCCTCATTTGTTAGACCAAGGAAAAAATCACTGAATATAAAAAAAAATGCATCAATACATTGTGTGATGAATATTCTTCAGAAAAAGAGACCATGTTGCAGTAAGGAAGCATACGCCCTTAAGTCAATCTACTGTGATCGCAGACGTATCTTTCTGACGTATGTCCAATGTAAAATATAAAACTAAAAACAAATAGAATTTCTTTCAAGGAAATTAGCTTTCTAAATTGTGGATCAATGCTATAACGTTACACTAGCAAGATATGTATCTAAGAATTTGTACTACATAGATTCGATAACCTTACGACATAACAGGTGAAATCGCCGTAATAATGTTAAACACAAGCTGATAACAGAAAGCCCTAGGGGTACGGAAATATTACACTTAGATGGTTTTACCATTTACCTGTGTAGTATGTACCCGAAGGGCTGTACTGTAATGGGCCGGAGATGTGTATCTCTTTTCATTGTTGTTTACAAACCTAATGGCAAGTTATATAGGGACCGGCTCATTGAGTCATGCTACCAGTACATAGCTTAAACACTCTGATACGTTCACAAACGATTTTGTTTGCCGTGGAAATTTGCAAATACGATTTTACTTTAAATCGTCCGTCTGATCGCGTATTAATTGCTTTTGCTGTACGTTATAAAATAGGACGACAATTTACAACACAGTCAAATATTTTAGCTAATTAATCTAACGATGCAGGGATGTTTATTGATTTTTCATTGTTTAGTCGGTTATAGAAGCATATCTACATATTCTGCGGGAGAAAAATTCCTCAAAACTTAGGGTTTTAGTTTTTTCCATCTTATCTTATAACATATATCTGGTATATTTTACCTATTCTGGCCTATTAGTTTTGCCTTTCCTAAAAGTAAGTCGTAATAGGATTAGATGCCAATCAAATCAGATGCCTTTATCGTTTGTTTCCATTGATATTAAACATGTTTTCTGTAGTTGATGTGCTTATTCATAGTTTTATTTATTTAAACAATAATTAAAGGATTATTTTGTCCATCCCACAGCATGTCGATTCAAAGCTGACGGGAATGGTTTCATAGAGAATGTTCCCATGTTCGGGAATATCTACAGCGAGTGTGCCACTGGACTGGTCTTCAGTGCCCCCAGCTGTGGCTGTGTCAAAAAGGGTAAATGTTGGCGAGTTTTCTTCTTTCTTCAAATTTAAACAAGCGTTGTGATCTTGCAGATATTTCTAATGACAACGGCAGGCGATATTTTAAACGGGTGACGGTGGGAGACGATAGCTTATTCAAATATTTGTCGTATTTATACACAGATATCTTTTGACTGTGAAGGGAGACAATCGTTCGTTTGGTTTAATGTAATCGCAAAAATATAATGATATTGCTGAATAATGAATAACATTTAGAAAAAGTATTAATTAAATAATCCGTTCATTCCTTCATTTCATTTATTCATTACAAGACTTCATTTTATCGGTATACATGTTAAAGCAGTGCATTGGCGTGTGTTTCACGTCATTGATCTATCACGTTGGTCTTTTTAACAGGATTAAATAATTGAGAAAAAATTCTGTCGCCGTTGTAGCCACTGGTATAACTGGTATACTTTAAAACAAGATCTAACTCTTGACACAAGTAATAATAACATTGATTTGAACGTTTATCAACTCTAATCAATACCTCATTCATAGCAACACACCAATTCAAACATGACTGCATATGTTTATTGACAAATTCCTCTGTGATAGTAAAGTAAGTATTGTGAAAGCATTAAAGTAGATTAGTTCTTCCGAACCTTTAATATAGCGTAAAAGGACTGTATAAACAAATAATCTGGACTTAGCATCGTACATATGTGTTAATGTCAATATTTGCTAGGAGTTAAATTTAATTAAATTTGCTGGTAAATAGATGTTGCAGTGTTACAACATCAAAATGTATAAAAAAGGACCAGATTGGATAAACATAACTGATTGAACATTTGCTACACCTCTTCACGTCTGCATTTCAGGCTCTTTGCAAAGACGTCATGTAAATACCACCCTTAATTTATTCATTTGTGTGCACATTGCAATGAATAACTGCTAGCTTAATGTATAAAAGTGATTGTAAGCCTTTGTTTGTGATTCACAATTATAACAAATACTATTATCCGTATGTTGTAAAGCGCCTTAGAGTGGCATTACAATTTAAATTGGGCGCTATATAAATGTTGTATATTTTTGTTATTATTATAAGTGTACATGACAGAAGGTAATATCACTGTTATTGGAGTACATCTGTTAAAATGTTCCTCTTATATCACTGGTAAACATGCTTCTTACCTCTCTATCAACACTTTATAATAATTTGGTATTGATTTCCAGGATCGATTGTTGCTACAACTACGACGCCTGTCACTACAAAAACGAGTAAGTAATCGGAAAACAAGTATTCCCAACTACATTGCGCCATTACATATTATAATTCCGGAACTGGCTGTCCGGTATTGGTTCTTCTTGTATGTCGTTAGTATCTTCCCTCTTTTTCCTGTTCATAGGATTCAGTAAATCTGGCGTTCACGTAGTGTACATGTGGTCTCCTGTTTACTAACTGGCGTTGTAGCTTCCGAACAAATGATGATACGTGTATGTTCTATAAGTTAACGTTGTATTCATTATAAACAGTAAGAAAGCTTGTACTTCCAAATACTAAGATTTTCGCGATTTTGATCCACAATTAGAAAGTTAATTTACACATACGACAATTTCGCGATTTATACATATGAGTACTTTTTGCGTAGTGTTAGCACAGCGATTACACGCTCGTAATATGCTCCATTACAGCATATTGAATAGCACCAAGCACATGGATTGTGTTTAAAAAATTATCAACAAAACTATTTGATGTGTGATATAATCCATTTTCAAACATATTCATTCTTATGTAAACGAATCGTCACAACCACAAGCTTGCTATTTCATGACGACATTACGTTTATGGAGTTTATTATCGAGGCTCATGTTATGCTTGCATACAAGTTACATCTTCTTGATCACGTAATTTACCCGCGAATCGCGAAAATATCATCCCCACGGAAATATCCTGCTATACAGTACATTGTAACTTGTCTTCCAAATTAAGTTTTTTTTCTATACAACATGTGTTATATCAAACATCAATAAAGGGATTTTCACATTACATTATTCACACATTTTGCTTCTCACTTTTTCGTGATGATAACAAGACAATGTTAGAACACACCGGAAATAAAAGGGAAATCTGAGTAACTTGAATACCTAGAACCCTATTGGCGTTTGACCAACAAACAACAAAAGTCCGAAATAGGAAGATGACATATAGGGTGCTGTCATAGTCATATATCAAATATTACACCTAGGTTATCGAATTATGGTGGCAATGTCAACAAGTTTATTAAAAAAGCAGATGGCAAGTTCACCAACTGTAAGTGAGACAGGTGATCGTTTTGGCAAAGTGCGGAAAATGAAAACGCCCTTGCTAACAACAGTGGAATTGAGCAGATACAAATCCTTGGCAACAATGTATCAGATGATGTTATATAAACTATAGTATTTGTTGCATCATTAGTGTAGCAAAGTGAAAGCGAAATTCGATGATAAATCTCGTCTTGCTTCGTTAAAGTTTGCCCGTACAGGAGACAAGGAACAGGGTTTATGGAGGACGTCCCGGGGATAGGCAAGGTGTGGCACAGCTGTGGAAAAGACGAACTCTTCATGAACAGTGCATGCCAGTGTGTTTCGAAAGGTAACCACGTGCACTTATTCTTATTCTCCAATGCAAATTTAAAAGTTATTCACTCACTCGAGTATTACCGTTCTATAAAACAAAAGGGCACCTGTCATCATTACAGTACTGTACTAAACTAGGTACATCGAAAACGCTCGGGTATATTAGCAAATTAATCATGTAGTTATTATCTTTCTTCTGCATATGTTCTGTGTGTTTTTACTTAAATACATGTACCGGTATATGTAATACTGACTGTATTAGGTAGAGGTATTGAATCAATATTTATATACTTTTAGCCCTGAGGTATTAGTATTAAATGATGTACTCAATATGAGCTATTTGACAAACTCTTCATGTGATTGTGTTCATACTTTGCAATTTCAGTTTTAGTGATACATCCATTACTCATAAAAATGTCCATTATACCTTAACAATATTTTGATGAAGCCCAACGAATTTAGATCAACTTTTCCCCTAACTTCATATGTGTTTTGTTTCTATAGGACTTGTGACAGGAACGGAACCAACAACTGCAGGTGTGTATCTAAATATTGATTTGATTTGGTTTGGTTTAATTTTGTTTAACGTCCTATTAACAGCTAAGGTCATTTAAGAACGTGTCCCCATGTGTGTAGTATATGCGTGCTTGCGTGTGTGTATGTAGGATACTAGGTATGTTGGTGTGCTTGCCTCCTTGCGGATCTGGTGCCGACTTTAAAACACTCTAAATGACTCTGTTATATGTGTAGAGTATGTATTTTAAGTTCAAGAATCATGTTACAGTATTTTGGTTGGTCAACATAACCCATAACTACAACTGGTCAAAATAATGTGCTTGTTGCAAGGCTTCCTTATTGGACCCCTTGTTTCAAGATTCTCTCCTGTTTTTAAGTAACGTCATTATCATGCCGTCAGAGACAATTTCGTGTAAAGATGGCAACCTTACGGAGAAAGACGACGTTTATGTATATAATACAATGTACTGCCTTGTACGCATTTGATATAAACATGATTTATTGCTTCAGCAAAAATACTTTATTTTTACACAAAATCATCATGCAGTTCTGCGTTATTAATTATGAAAGTTTTTTCTTCTGGAAAAAGAAACCCCTTTAAAATCAGAAATGAATATATTTTAACTGTATAATAGACGCATTTGTTTCATTTTATGTGTACAAGCTGGCAATTGTATGTCTATAGAACAGGTTTAAATCTGGTACCGAAGCTACATTAGTTATGAACAAGGCAAAGTAATACAACATTCAGAATTCTGTTATTCAAATAATTTATTTTATAAGCACACACATTTCACCATCTCTGCTGTTCCGAAGAAAAATCTCATTAACAAAAAGATTTGCCTTTATTTACAATGTGCTATGGATAGACAACCGCGACGATGACGACAAAAGTCATTCCATTTCTATACTGGAAATCAGACTATATAGTTGCATCTCATGTATACAATGTACCGATGCCCAATTCATATCTCCGCATTTCTTGCAGTTATGTACAATTCTGATGATATTTTACAATTATGGACTTTTGTGCTGGTGAATATGATGGTTCTGATTTTTGTACGCGATATCCTTGTAAAATTTAGCCAGGTTTGAATTCGACAGTTCAGCTTTCGAAGACATCGTCTAGGTTTCTTTTTCTTAAGATTAGCATGGAGGACATGCACTGCGTTTCCAATGGCCTTTTCATGTTAAAAGCATCTTTATCCTCGAATACTTTTGGGTAATTTTCTGATGTTACGGAGGGGAAACGTACGCCAGCAGCCATCTTCTATTGTCGTTTGACAGATCGCGTTCCGGTCTAACTGCGCATGCACTACGATAGGTTCCGTGGAATTTCCATAAAGGCTATATTTAGAAATCGATATTCACTGGATAACCAGTCTACATGAGATTTTGAGGACTCGTCACGTGTATAGGATCCGACCAATGTGATTGCGAGAAATGTTCATGCATATTATAAAAGCTTATATCGTGTTAGTTTTGAAATTCAGTATTTATAACCCCTTTCATGTACACCTTTATATACAGAAATGTCCACGGCTACAGCGAGTTCAACCACCACCTCCTCCACCAGCCAAAGTACCACTGCAGAACCTGCCCGTAAGTATGTTAAATCACCAACGTAACTAATGTGATTGAATGCTTTTTTTTAAATTAAAAATACAAATATGTTGTTTACGTATATCTAACCTAAATTGATATATACTTTTTTGTCATTTTGTTCTTCATTTGGGTCAAACGTCGATAAAAATCAGCCGCACGGAGGATCTTATTACGTAACAATAAACAGAGCAGTGAACCCTATCGACGACATTTATTTAATATCATGATTTACCTCCGCAATTACGAAGATAAGATTTGATTAAATGTAATGACTTTATATTTGTTTCAAAGGCTGTAATAACCGAATCAAAGAGGCGAATGGTTACAAAGAATACAACAACGTCATCATGGATTGGGTGTTCTATGAATGCTCCCCCTCGTTGGTGTTCAGCCTCCGTCAATGTGATTGTGTTGATCCCGGTAGGTGGTTTATTCCGTCTTTGCGTATTGCAGAGTCACTTCTCTTGGGAGCAGGTATTGATTGTTACGTCACTTGTTTGTGAGAGTAACGTCATGAATTTTTGAGAAAACGACGTAATTTGTCTCGCACAAACCAATGACGTAACAATCAATCCCTGCTCACAAGAGAATATAACTCTGCAATACGCAAAGACGGAATAATAATTCGACACATATTAGTACTAGACTGGCCACCAGCCCCCAAGATTTTGTGAAGAATTTCTTTTCTGCAGTTTTACTTCTTGTATAAAACATCTCAACTCTTGAGATTTCCTCAAGTCTAAGATTTCCCACAGACAATACATTGCTTGAGATTTTCCTTAACTTTGAGATGTTTTATACAAGTGGGCCCAGACATCTAAGTGATCACAGTTTTAAGATTCTAATTGTTTCTAAATGATTCAATATTCTAGAGACGGGGGCAAGTCTTATATTAGTACTAGCCTAAGTAATAAGGCTATTTGTCATTTTTTCGTCTGAGCTTTTGGATAATATCTCTCGCGCAATATGATTCTTAAAGTGCAGGTAAAAGGTTTGTTGGGCCATCGATTGGTAAATAATACATTTTATACAAAAATACAAATAAATTTCGATTAGGAATTTAATGGATGATAATAGCGCCCTCACATTGAAACTATCTCGTACCATTTGTTGCGTGCACCTCAAGATGGTGACGACTCACGTTCACGCGTTTACCTAAGAGCACATTTAACCTTGCAATATGCACGATGTCTTTAATAGCGATATAGCAATCATAAACACTTGAAGGGTATACCACGCTGTATGTTCTATAAAGACCTATTACTCCCATCCTTTGAATCATTATCGAAATTTATTTTAACGGCAAGTTACCTCCCGTTGAACGATCAGTTACTGTTGTAAGTACAAAGCTATTAAAGACGGTTAAACGCGTACGTGTACATGCAAACTTCTACTTTTGCCTTGTTAAGAGATTTAATTTTCTTATCATTTGGTAATATCGTGAAGTGAACATTCAAACTTAAAAAGAAATATACCGGTTTAAAGATTTTTTGGTGATATCAAGATACATGATACACTGATACCTCTTTATTGATACCATTATTAATGTACTTAAATTTGAAATGGATTTCATTTGTAAAAAAAAGCGAGAAATTAGGCGAAAACATCATATCACCAGAGGTGGTACAAATCTACTGAAATAAAACAGAAAGGTCATGACACCTACGTAATGTATAAATTTGAGCCTCTTTAATCGAACAACCTTCGTTCTCAGCTAAACGTTATCAGATGATGAGGGGATCAAAATAAACAAATTGTATATAATTGCGAATTTTATCATAAAGGAAAATAAATTTAAAAGATATGAGATATCTATATGTCTTTTTCATTGTAGGAACAAACCCCATCCCCCCGTCTGGGCCACCTAAAGGTAAGTACAGTACATGCATAATCTTGTGCAAGTAACGCTTTAGTTATTTGATATATACTCCCGCATACCCTCTGATGTATCTTCAACATTGATAGTAATTTCCACGAGGACACACTATTTATCCTGATATTAAGAAAATATCATAAAAAAAATCATGGATTTAGATAAAAAAAAAACAAAAAACACCCGACAAATGCCAAAACACCGATAGTGTATATTTTAGAACATTTAAATGGATATATTATTTATAAATATTTATATACCAATCATACCTATCATCATCATCATCATCATCATCGTCATTATTTATGTCATCATATCACTAAATCACCGTCATTATTATCCATGAACAAGGCTAATAATACCTCCTCAACAACAGCAAAAAGTATATAAATAATGCTCTATCTTATATATCTAACTATTGTTTTGTGTATGCTAAATTGTACTGTCTTTTGTAACGATGAACCGGTTCGATGTGTGTTTTATTGTATCGTTTTGTTTTGTGTTAGATTGTACAAATTTCGAGGTCAAAGGAACGGGATATATCGAGCATATTGCTAATGTTGGAGCCGTGTATAACAACTGCCCACCGAACATGCGGTTTAGCATGACGGCATGTGATTGTACTGGTAAGTGCAGGTCTAGTAAAACCTTACATAAACAATCAATTTATCTCGTTTAACATGAAAAAACATCATCTACTATTCCGTCTTTGCGTATTGCAGAGTTATCTTCTCTTGGGAGCAGGTATTGATTGTTACATCATTTGTTTGTGCAAGAAAATTACGTTGTTTTCTCAGAAATTGATGACGTTACTCTCACAAACAAGTGACGTAACAATCAATACCTGTTCCCAAGAGAAGATAACTCTGCAATACGCAAAGACGTAATACGATATGAAAGTGATTGAATTATCTTTAGTCTAGTTCGAACTGATTCACTATTGGTAATGATAAACAGCTGTTTATGTGTCATGTTTCGATAATAAAAAAGAAATTATATTGGTTGTTTAGTCTTAAATTATATAACGACATTTAATACAAACACCTTTTTACTGTCACGCTAGTTTTCTGTAGAATGACGATACGAGTTTACAATCAGCAAAAAATGAAAAAAATGAAATAAAAGAAACATGTGTTTTCAGATGCAGATGGTAAGAGTCATACAGGAGGCAGTACAAACACTATCAGAATAACAGACTCTGACATAGTTGGTACGTTTTCAAAATGTGTTTCTTAAACGTCACATTTCGAAATTTACATTTACAGAGTTGTATGTAGGTTTTCGTTGAAAATAAATGAGAATATTTTGTTTATTATGTTTTTATTCAGAAAGAAATTGAATTCAGTGAACAGTCAGCGACGTCATAATTTAAAAACAGAAACTGTCTTAACATTTGCAGCAGCAAACATTATTTTCTCTGTAATGATTAACGTTTCACTGTTTAATGTGATTCTTGAACAGATATATTGCCTATTTATTGAAAGAAGATAATCACCTGAAAAAACAGATTGCTCTTGGACGATCCTTAGCAACGTTTGACCTAAAACGCTTGTAAATATTTTTTTGTAGATTGTGGGTTCGAGACTCAAGGCGACGGATATACAGAGAACATTCCGGGGGTCGGAGATGTATATTACACATGTGTCACTAATCACAGATTTATCAAAGGGCTATGTCGTTGCATAGACAAAAGTAATCACTTTCTTTGTTTGCCTTTATCTACAATCAGAATGATTCCTCCTATACTACTGATTCAATGTTAAACCGCCTAGATGCCGCTTATACGATCTAGCATGAGACCTTACCTAAGATAACCACTGGAAAAGCGAAATAATGACGCAACCATTTAAAACTTTAGTAGATCGATTTTGAGAGCCAACAAAGTAAATATATTATTGCAATATATGGTCAGTGTGTCCATTTAGGACCAATCAGGGGTAAAATGAATGAAACTCAATATTTTTGCTGCAACAGATATTGTATTCTTAGCTAATTTTTCCTACGAACCGTGCCTTAACAACTCCAGCTAAAAGGTTACGACCAAACTGTTGACAACATATATACGGTTTCTTATGTTTTTCTTCACTATATATGCAAACCATGATGACGTATGTATATCAAAAGACTATGCATTCTTTATCATATGACTCCTTACAATCGTTTTCATTTCTACTGCCTTTACTTTGGTAACAGAAAAAAAGGATTTCCTACAAAAAGCACCATTTATAAAACCATAACGTGACCAGGAGAGGTGTTTTGCTAACTAAGGTGTATATGTATTTTCTCGTCAGCGAAAAGTTAAATTTACTATAGCAGATACATTTGAAGGTTTATGCTCCCTTGTGGATTTGACTTTGTCATTTATATTCGGTAATTTGTACAAATGTAGTAATGTCTTGATTCATATATATTAAGTTAGAGGGTTTCTTTGTTATAGGTATCACAATCATAGACGAAACGACAGACAACACAGTCCTCCAAACATCTACAGTGAATCCTGCTACATCAGCCGCGGGGACAGGTATTCAGTTTTAACATTCAATTGTTAATTTCTAACTTATTCCATGACACTTCATTTGAGTGCTGCAAAATAGTAAAAAAAAAAAAAAATAGAAAAAAACTATGATATATCACCATTTGGCTTTGTCTCATAATTGTAACTTTGTTCACAAAAACTAAGCTTACTTTATCATGCAATTTGATATTTATATTGTTTACTATTTTATGAATCGTTTCCATACATGGAATTCATCTCATAATGAAAGATATGTAAAAGAGTAAATACTTTTTCACAAGAAGATATTAGAAAATAATAGCATTTATATTTTCCCTTTTAAACTCCAGCGACAGAAACTTCAAAATCATCTTCTACCACATCTAGTCCATCGACAACAGCGGGGCTGCGTAAGTTCTGTTTGAAACAAAAATATTGAACGCAGTGTGTTCTCTTCGAAACCTACACTTATAACATGTTTATTGGTTGAAGTTCAACGTCTTATGAAATGTATATGAACAGAGATCCAAATTTACAATTCAGTTTTTTCAAGAAACGCGACATATTTAATTCTAACAACCATGTATATGTCAGTATCATGTAATATCATCTGTGTGACGCCCGTCGTGATGTATAATGCGTCTTGTTATTGATTTCAGGATGTAAAGATCGAATCAAATCTGGAAATGGATATATGGAGTATTTCGAATCCTTGAATGATTGGGTATTCTTTGAGTGTTCTTCTGCACAGGAATTTAACATCGCTGAGTGTGATTGTGTTACTTCAGGTATATATGTATTCAGTATATGTGTGTGTGTATTTCGCCCTGTCAGTGAGCCAGTCTGTGCATCACTTAGTTCAAGGCATATCTCGTATACTTTTAACTGAAATCATCAATGTTGGTGACTACCTTTTGGTATGGCGGAACGTTGCATATCAAAATTGGATAGTGTGTCATATCATTTATGCTTGACTAAATTCTCATTAAAAAGAAAAAGTCGATATTAAAAAACAGCTGCGTAGATATACTTCAGTATTATTCATCGAAACTATGATATTTGATGTATTTAGTAATATTGTTTTTATTTCTATCTCACATATTTTTTCAGGGGCAGATCCTAGTACACAGGGTCCTAAAACAGGTAAATACGTCATCATTTTGAATTGAATGTCGATATTGAACACATTTCCTTTCATCCCATGACATTTTTATAAAATTTCTTTTGTTTATGTGTCACTTTAATCATTACCAATTTTCCCTTTGCATCGTCTTAACCACAAAGTAAATAAAGGTTTATGTGAACAACCTAATGTAATGTAAAATCGAACATCGATTAAAGCATTCCCTTATCAGTTTGAAATAAATTATTCTAGAACAAGTCAGCTTGATGATTGAATAGTTGTTACATTTAAAAGTGTTTGTCTCTTATATATGTGACAGACTGTACTTTTGAGGCAAGAGGAAATGGATACATAGAAAACATTCCTGGCATTGGAGCTGTCTATAGCGACTGTCCATCTACACAGCTGTTTTATACTTCGCTATGTGCATGTGCAGGTTAGTCATTGGCTTTTGAACAGTATGTATCCACCATACTGACAAAAAGGGAAAACGATCAGGGGTCGATCTCAGCCGTATATTGCGACTATCAGCGAGACAATATGTTCCGATTATGACAGCAAACACAGCTGAGTAAATGGATTGATGTTTGTCAGGAATGGGCCCGGCGACAGCTGGTGACCGGGTAGCTCAATCGAGTCCGTTTAGGTTTTGGGTTTCCCAGATTTGTTTAGATGTCGTGCTATAGATATATCTTCATTAACACAAACGATGATAGAGAGTTAGATCTTGACTCCCCGTTCGTCAAGTCCGCAAAACACTGAAATCTTCTTTGTGAAAAAAAAGTAAATATGGCACAAACTGTTTCACAATTCGCTCAGGTTGCACGATTATCACTGTCTAAAAGTGATAACAATGTTTATTAATCCTGAACATGAATAATCATCGGTAATGACCAACTACTTTTCTCTTTGTCGAATTATATTTTATTGATATTGTTTACAGTCCTACTGTGTAATAATGACGATTTCCAACGACAAAATCTCTTTGTTAATATGACGTTTCGGAAGCGACTGCTGCTTGACTACCATAATGCTTTTGTTAGTGCAAGCTTCCATGTGTAGAACAAAATGATGGTTATACCGCTACAACATGTTTACTAAGCAAGAGTTATTCAAAATCTACGGTACCATATATTTTTTTCATAATGAAGACACCCGTTTCTTTTTTATTAATTTCAGCGCATGCGAGATTAATGCGTCGATTTTGGTATAGCTACTTATATCGTGTCGTATGGATGACCTGTTGCTTTAATTTTGATTTAATCTACTCTTTAAACTTTGAATATGATTTTGAAAGATATATGTTTTGAGATTTGCTCGTGCAAAGTAATGAATGGAAAAATGGAAGACCATTATTACAGATACTTTCATTAGAAAATATACTGAATTGTTTTTTAGTATAATTATGTTTTTGTCCATCAATACAGCAGCAGGTTCTGGCAAAAACCATGACCTCATCACTATAACGGACCAAAATCGAGTACAAAGTAAGTATAACATTACGGTAAATTATCAATATTTTTTCCTTGCATCTTTCATTACCGAGATCAATATGCCGATGATTTTAGAAGCGAACATTTAATTACATGTTGGTGATGCACAACTATCGACTACAGGTAAAATATTACGTCTCTGTGATTGAATAGCTCGCGGTGTCCTCTTTCAATAACAAATAGTGTAGCGACATTTCATGTATCGCCATTATCAGTGTTATTAGATATCAATTTGGAAACAGCTATGCTATTGTTTCATCCAGGTAACTTAATATACTGTTATTGAATCAGGAGACACCGTCTCTTTTGTCTTTTTAATACTACGTCCAATGAGGAGACCTAGTATTGACAAAGCACAAGAAGAACGTTTCATAACAGGCACAGTTACAATTGAGTATTGCGTCCGTTTAACATAGCCGACCATATGCTACAGATTTTTTCCAGTTTTGACACATAATCAAACAAAAAATAAACGTAACACGCTGAATGCAGATACCGATAAAAAAAATCTTTTACAACATGAATTACTGCTGTCAGCGGTCAGTCAGGTTAATCGTTTGAACACAACCTTATAAACGAATAGCCGGATATTTGATTGGGTCGTCCCATATTTACCTGCGTAAGACCTACCAATTATCTATCAATACTCAGATGAAAACTGATTGTTCTTTTGACAATAGCGCACGACGCGAGCGGTGACTTGTTTTACAGTCGATAAAATATAGATAGACAAAGAGATGCGGCCAAGGCAATCTGAAGTTATGATCATGTTTAAAGGGTCCAGAAAGCAAATTTGTAAAATGCAATCTTTGCGAGATACAGAAAATTGAATATATTGCCCATGAAAATTGAACAAATATAGTAGTAGTTTGTAGAACGGACGACATTGATTGATTGTCTTGTATTCGGGGCACATTATGCATGAAGCTGGTAACATGTCGATTGGATCGGTAGAATATGAGCACATGCCCAATTACTGTCACCTGTCACTTATATTGATGTCGCCAAACTAATTAACAACTGACTGACTTGAATGATCAACATAAGTATTTATGCTTAAATCCCTATCAAACTCCACTTTGATATTTAATATGATATCTCGAAGACAGGTCTTGTTTTAACCAGTTACACGTTCTTTAGTTACAAACGCACCTGTGCTTCTCATTTCTGAAGTAATTTTCAAAAAATATCCTAGAATGAATTTCAGAATATCTTAAATCTAATATTATTCTAAACAGAAAGAAAAAAAATGTTTTTCTTAGTATTGTGTCTGTATACTGGAGAAAAAAAAGGTAAAAAAATTAAAGTTTACTATAAATTTACTCATACACAACTTATTTGAATGATGAAACTACATTTTTTAACAATTAGATTTGTTTCAATAACCAAAGCATTTCCATAAAAGAAAAATTAGCTACACGTTGTGCGAGGGAGACGTTACATCTAGTCTGGTTTATCAGACTATTGGAAGGGATTCCCTTAATCGCTTTTGATATATAAGATTACAGAATGGGAAGTTTTCTAAATATCATATGTCATACTCAGGAGAAGTAACCATTTAATTATTGTCTGTATAACAGACTATTGGAAGGGATTTCCCTAATCACTTTTGATATATAAGATTACAGGACGGGAAATCTCTAAATATCATATATCATACTCAGGAGAACTAACCATATCATTATTGTCTGGTATAACAGACTATTGGAAGGGATTCCCTTAATCGCTTTTGATATATAAGATTACAGGACGGGAAGTATCTAAAGATCATATAACATATTCCGGAGAAGTAACCATTTCATTATTCCCTTAATCGCTTTTGATATATAAGATTACAGGACGGGAAGTCTCTAAATATCATATAACATACTCCGGAAAAGTAACCATATCATTATTCCCTTAATCGCTTTTGATATATAAAATTACAGGACGGGAAGTCTCCAAATATCATATAACATACTCCGGAGAAGTAACTATATCATTATTGTCTGGTATAACAGACGACGGGGAGAGTAGTCTCTAAATCGTGTACGGTACTTGGGAACTAAGGTAAAGAGAGTCTCTTTATTTTGCCTGCATATTAGACTACGGGTAAATGAATTTCTAAAAGTCTTACGGTATATCAAACTTGTTAGAGATACCAGATTACAGAAAAAGGAATCTCTAATTCTTGTACAATATCAGGCTACGGGGAGTGAAGTCTTAACATAATGCATTGCTATATAAGACTACGAGGTATCTAGATATCGTCTGATATAAAACAGCTGAAAGGGAGTCCCCTATGTCTCGCCAGGCCTATGTCCTGTAATTCAATTCAGAGGCACATATGTAAACTAATGTTACGAAAGGAACATGGACATTAACGATATCATCGACAGAACACCTGCTATATAATGATTGTGTATTGTGCTTCTACTTTTGATAATTCAGTTTCAAGTCTCAAATCGTTGTCTATATAAAACATCTAGATATACTTATCAATACCAAATCAGTGTTTGAGGTATGCTTTTGTTCTATCGAATCGGGGTATTAATCATCATTCTATCTCTGTTTTAACTTATATTTTATGTTAAATAAGAATATGAGTGAGGTGCAAAGGTAAAAGCTGTGTGTTATATCACATCTGGACTGATTATTTTATGAATCCGTAACCCTTGTACAACGCCAAGTCCGGCAATGTGTGTTGTGGGGTCTAAATCCACATGTGATATCATATCTAAATCTAAGTGTAATGTGAAGTCCAACCATACACGTCATGTCCAATTATAATATGTGTATAATGTGTGTATGATAGCAATCATCAGCGCATCCCTGATGTGAGGTTTTAAAATCTGGGTAATACCGCATCAAATACCTTAAGTCCACTGTTAAAGTATGTCTGCTGTCAAATCGCACCGAGGGTTGATGTCAAGTCTCACTTTTAATTGGACACCAAATGTTAAACTTTGTGATTCTAAGACTTAAAGTATCTGTGATATCAAGTCTCAGCCTCTGTGGAATAAAATTATAGACTTTAACTTTTCTGTGAGATATACAATCTTAACATCTGTGTGATATAAAGTCTTAACATCTGTGTGATATAAAGTCTTAACCAATGCATGATATCAAGTCAAAACATCTGTTAGATATAAAGTCCTAATCCCTGCATGATATCAAGTCCAAACATCTGTTGGATATCAAGTCTTAACTCTGCATGATATCAAGTCCAAACATCTGTTGGATATCAAGTCTTAACCAATGCATGATATCAAGTCAAAACATATTTAAGATATAAAGTCCTAATCCCTGCATGATATCAAGTCCAAACATCTGTTAGATATCAAGCCTCAACCTCTGCATGATATCAACTAAACAAATGTTAGATATACAATCTTAACCTCTCTGTGATATAAAGTCTTAACCGCTGCATGATATCAACTAAACATATATTAGATATCAAGTCTTAACTTCTGCATGATATCAAATATAACACAATGCTAGATACCGAGTCTTAACCTCTGCATGATATCAACTAAACATATGCTAGATATAAAGTCTTAACCTCTGCATGATATCAAATCAAAACATCTGTTAGATATAAAATTTGAACTCTGCATGATATCAAGTCTAAACATCTTTAGATATAAATCTTACCTCTGTATAATATCAAGTCTAAATTTATGTTAGATATAAAGCCTTAACTCTGCATATACATGTATAGTCTTAATCTCTGTTTGGTATCAAGTCTAAACATTTGTTAGATATCAAGATTTAATCTCTGCATGATATCAAATTAAAATATCTGTTAGATATAAAGCCTTAACTCTGCATGATATCAAGTCTAAACATATGTTAGATATACAGCCTCAACCTCTGTGCGATACCACGTCTAAACACATGTTTGTAATCAAGTCTTAATCTCTGTGTGATAAAAGGACCTAAACTGTAATATCAAGACTCATTCTCTATGTAATAGCAGGTTTTAATATATGTGTTTTATCATGTTCTCACCTCTGTGTGATATAAAATGACAACCTTTTTATGATATCAAGTCTTAACATATGTGTGATATCAAGCGTTTATTTCTGTGTACTAAAATGCACCAATTCTTAACCGCTGTGTGATATCAGGTTTAATCTATGTAATATCACGTCCTAACTACTGTGTAATATGAACACTTAACCTCTGTATGATATCAGATCGTAGCCTATGTGTGGAAATCAAATATCAACACCATATTTCAGATTATAGTGAAGGGAAGCTATAAATAGTATTCCTCTCCAGCGAAGGAATGGACACATAAGTCAGCAGAAGAGAGAGAAAAAAAAATGTCAATCAATCATGTTATGTCTTTTGAAGCACACGTCAATGCATTTGATAAATTTATCCGTTTATATTACAGATTGTGCGTTTGAAACACGTGGTAACGGGTTCGTTGAACATGTCATCGGAATCGGCCTGGTATATCACGACTGTTCCAGATCTGAACGGTTTGTTGCCAGTTTATGCAAGTGTATTGACAAAGGTGCGGCCTAGTCGCTTTTATTCTATTTTTTTCATATCTATAACCTCACTTTAGTACATAATCTGACGAAAAATATTTTCTCCTGTTTCATACTAGTTTATAGTAAACAGTAGTGTTCCTTTGTTTTCTATATGCTGCATTATGTGACATGTAATCGTTTAATATTTCTGTAATCACAGATTTTCTAATTGACTCATAATTTTGACAAATCCATTGGCTTACTTTTTTTTTTTTTCGTTGCCTACATATATATTTATATTATTCGCATCCGGTGCTCGTAGGGACCAAACTGTTCTAAGCATAGCTGCATGATTTGTGTATATTTTGTTACAGACACTGTAATAGTTGACAACACATCCCCAATGAAGACAACACAGCCGTCAACGACATCTACAGCCGAAAGCACAACACGTACGGCATTATAGAACAAAAGAAATCATTGTCTCAGAGACCCTTTTAAATGTATTAGAAAGCAAGACATACATATGTAAAGCACTGTAGCAATCGTAGGCGTATTAAATGAATGTAAACACAGATTGCATACAAAAAAACTTGCACTTGGGAGTCATTTTTACAGGTTCTAAAATATACAAGTTTTATCTTAGAAAGCATCAGGTACAAACGGACGATTAAGACTATGTAGGGTATAGAAACATTAACTAGTAAATATTTACCGCTGATTACAACATTGAAATATATTCATTTTAGGAAAACAGAAAATAGTGAATGGCATTTAACTACATTTGAATAAATGTCGTGAATTATGTTAACTGCGAAACAAACAGGTAGATAATATATTGGTATTAGTAATTAATATTGAATTACAAAAAGATTTAGTATATAAATGTAATTCGGATTGATGTGTAAATATCTTGTAGATGTAAACAGAGCAATTGATATTCGAAAAATGATGACAGGTAAATGTAGCACTAACATAATTGAAAGTTAGAGTTCTGCTATGTTAATTATAATGTTCATGCAATATATTATGGAGTAACCTTATTATGTCATGGAAATGTCAATACGTTTTAGCGGCAGCTGATCCAGCTACCTCACCGCCATCTACTGCCACAGTGACAACGCCAACCACTACAGGTCATGAGGTAACCAATAAAGGTAACACGATTGGGTTGTAAACTGTAAGATATAAACTACTGAATAACCTCAGTAGTATTACTTATTTGCGTAATAACAATTATTCGATACAAGGGAAATTGCCTATGGGTTTAAAACTAATTTGTAACTAAATACACTGCATGTTGACTGATATAAAACGAAGCTTACAGTGCACATCAAAAAGATAGATTTCCATGGGTGTGCCTTTTGGTGTTTTTGTCGCTCTCCTGATCGTTGCAAATGTGATTAAAGCCTTAAACTAGATCTGATTTACATAGCGGATTTCGTCAATGAAGAAGACAAATTCCTTTCAGCAACACATTGGACAACATGGGTCCCTTTGTGTATCTTCCGTGTAATGTATTTGGATTCTTTTTGTTTACAATTATGTATGCGTTTGATTGTTCCTTTTTGTGTACGATAATACGCATTATGGCATGTGCTTCAAATATCTTTTATGGGCATCTTTAATTTTTTCTTTCAAAATCTTCTTGTCGTGATATTTATATTGTACAACGTGTTCAAAGCAAAGGCCCTTTTCACTGGTTGATAACCATGCATTGTTTGACGATAGATCATACACGTACACGTATTATTTTGTATAACAGTCAAAGTGCATCGGTTTTCCAAAACCCTCCTCCTCAAACGTTTGCAAGCAAGCTGAGACTGGGTTGCCTTGTTTAATGAGGGTGCCAGCAGTATGTGATATGCTTTTAAGATTTCCAAGCTGACAAACAAATGAATGTGGGTTTTTTAACTCTATATGTACTTAAATTCTGTCAAGCTCATGGTCAAAACGTTCCTCCGAAATAACCGCGGTGGTAGCTCGAAAAAGTGTTAGTAAATTTATCAAACACTGATCCATGTGTTGACGAGTGATCAAAACCAAAGTCAGATAAAACATGACGCCAGTGCTAATACATTATCTTATTTCTATCTAAAATTCTTCTAAAATACATACAGGTTAAAACAATAGGATAACTACCCAAAGGGTCAGAAATGATAAAAAAAAAAACAACGCCAAGCTTGTTGTGGAATGAATATTTAGGCATCAGCTGCAAGAGATAGCTAGCACAAATGCGTACCCGGATTTAAATAATTATATTTGTAGATCACCTTGCCTATTATAGAAATTTTGACACTGATGTACACATGCGCAACTTTGATTAAATTTTACTCAGTAAAATAAATATAATCAACTATGTCTATACATTCTGGTTAAAAATAAAGCTTGGGCTTCGCAATGGTGGAATGTTTTGTTTTCATCATTAGCTCACCTTCGTCATATATTCGACTATAGCACGCGAGAAGCACGTTTTCTATTCTTGATTTTTTCTGTATAATATCGTTATGATATTGTTCGTTTGTTTGCCGCACATCGTAACAATATATCTGAGTGTATTTCAAATATTTGCAGATTGCCTTTATGAACAAGTACCTGGTCAGAATCGTGAGTTCCGGGCGCCGATGACGTGGATGCCAGGACAATACATGTATTTTTCATGTAGCATAGGCCAAGAATTTGACATTGTCGCGTGTTCTTGTGTTGATGAGAAAGGTAAAGATGTTACTTTTTAACGACTTCCATGCTTTATAATATATTGATTAGTTTCTACTATTTTGATTCTTAACTCTGTTTGTATGAGAGCTTTCTCTATCTCTCTCTCTGTGCTAGTGTTCATAATGTGCATATCCCTAGTAGTTTATTTGTTGTACATACTTTGTCTTTTAAGGTTACAAAAGGAAGTACTGTTATACATTTATTTGATACATTTTTTCTTATATATGTTAGTTACGACCACACAGCCAACCATCAACCCAGGTAATAATAATTACAGAAGATGTACAGACTTTCGCCGCTTAGCATCTATCGCTTGTTTGGTATATTTTATGCCTCTTATTTTATTTTCTAAAAAAGTTGATGTACTGCATTTAATTTTTCTATCCGTCTGCTTATACCCCCGTTTAGCGAATAATAACCACTCTATTGATGGAAATGAGCCAACGTTAGGGTATGCTACCATGGTGAAACTGTTTCGATCAAATGTCGAAATTTGCATATTTGATTAGGTTACGGGTACTCTCCAACTCTGATGGTCGACACATATGATATTCTCGGATCATGGCAATAATCAGGTCTAGTTTTAAGATAAGCGGTAGAGAATATGTGTCCGTCTTTTTATAATCGATTAAAGCGCAATTTCTCCTAACAGTTGAAAGTATCGTAATATGTAGATGTGCATAACAAAAGGACTTTTCGATCCGACTATTTGTCCTAAGTTATGGCCCTTTAAACTTGCCGCTGCAGCAACCTTGTCAGCGCAACTCCTCCTCCTTAATAGTTGTTTTGGATTTTGTTTTTTCGTAACTTGTCACAGTCAAAAAACATCGTATGCAGATGTACATTTTTGTGAGCTCACAACTTCTCTAGTTATTTTAAGTTTCTTGTTCATTTCTTGGCTTCAATTTCATATTCACAAACAATCATAACAAGTACTTGCCATAATCTGAAAAATAACTGTCATTTTAGTTCCATTTTTACGAACATAATGTCAACAAACATGATTTAAAGATGTATACTGTTCTGAAATATTTAAATATCAAAATGTTGTAAACCTGTGCAATGTGTAAGCGTTGCCGATTCCCCGCTTTTCTGATCGGCTCAAAGATATAAATATGATGAAACTATTTATAGGAACATATCACCGGAAGGGGTGGGGATTGCATGAAAACAACTACTATTTATACATTTTACAATCTAGAATAGATTCATTCTATCACGTACATGTAGATGAAGTATACATTTTTTTGTCGACAGCACAGACACTAATGCTATGGATGTTTAAGGCAATGGTTAGTAGAGTATCAGCACAATAAAACGTATTAACAAGTTCATCGAGCTAAACGTACGAATTAGCACATAGCGGATCTTACTTAAAAGATCAATAATTACTGAAATATGCCAAAATATCCATAAAGGTATCTTTAACCAAAATTGCTTACCTTTATTTTAAAACACGATTTTATTTATACAAATAGATTGTCCCTTTCTTCCCTCTGCTATTGGCGACAATTATTTTCGCTTCTTGCTTCTTGGGATTGGATGGGTTGAATTCAGCTGTGCAACGGGTCAAAGATATGACTACAGCCAGTGCAACTGTGTAACAAGGGTCTAGCTTGTGCCATGGAGAGGTAACGGCTTTAAAAATATTTATACGCTTATTTTACACATATAAAGTCAGCAACTTTCGTACTAAGTTCGTAAGACTACTTTGCTTTTCTTCTGACTTGAATTTCAGTTTGTAATTATTTAATTATATCTATTTATTGTATACATATCCGCATTTTCAAATGTCTCTTTTATATTTTTAAAATCAAGTAAAATATGACGTAAAATTCATCCTTATATCTCTGTTTCGTGTAAATATTTGACAGACACTTAAACAATTGTATGTATATGTGTATATATATATTCAAAAACACAGATAAAAGTCCTAATAACTTCTGTTTGATACAAAGGAGGAACTGTTTAAATGCTGGCTGGACTTGATGAGCTCAGTGATATGTCGATTTGTATCTGAACACTTTATATATACAATTTAGATAATATACTGATTTTTGATATGCTTTTTGGTTGTGTGTCAATACATTTATTTACTTGCGATGTTTCTTTTTCTTTATTTTAAGCATGATGATTCCGTCCGGCAAGAGAGGAAAGCGTTCGTCGGAAAACAATATACGCATTCAAAAAGCTCCTTTTTAATTCATAATATTTTGTGTAGTATTACTTTCCTCTTTTGATATTAAATATTTCTAAACTACACTGTGTGTGTACTTGTTTCTAAGCAGTAAGCGCCTGTTTCTTATGTGATTGACCAGTGAGCCATTAACGTGTACTTGGTATTGTGTTAAGCATTCAATTTTGTCTTAAATACAGAAATATATTGAATAAATATATTTCGCTGAATTTTAGCTTAAGTTAAAAACAAGAGGCCTAAATGCTATTACAAAGCTCATCCATATTTAAGTATAGTTTTGCTTTATTGCTGATATGTGAAGTGTAAGCAGCAGAGACAAAGTATCCTCCTAGTGATTCAGAGACATTCCAAATGACACAGTTTTCATTTTCATAATATAAATAATAATAATAATAATAATAATGATAATATACAGCATTTATATAGCGCCCTATATAATTTGTAAAATTACTCTAAGGCGCTTTACAACATATGGATAATAGTAATGGTTATAATTGTGAAAACAAACAACAAAGGCTTGCAATCACTTTCATACAATAAACAAGCAATGTGCACATAGTTGAACAAATAAAAGGGTGGTATTTACATGACCTCTTTGCAAAGATTCTAAAATGCAGACGTGAAGAGGTGAGTTTCTATGTCCCTCTTGAACTTGGCCAGGGGATTTGACTTCCTAAAAGCAGATGGTAAGCTATTCCGCAGCGTAGCCGAAACCCTCCCAAAGCATCTGTTTCCGTAGGTCACAGTACGATATTTTTGGGACACACACAAAAGATTCTGACTCCGACCGCAGTGATCTTGACGGCTGATACAGGGTAACAAGTTCCCGAGGAGCTGTTCCATTCAGTGCCTTGTATGTGTATATCAGAATTTTGTACTGCGACCTGTATCGTACAGGTAGTCAGTGCAACGAATAAAGCGCAGGTGTGATGTGCTCTATCTTTCGAGTACGAGTAACTAGCCGTGGTGCAGTGTTCTGGACCCTCTGCAGACGACTAGTTAGTTTGTCAGATATACCACAGAGCAGGGCGTTACCATAATCCAACCGAGTGAATCCACCAAAATCTTGCATGCATTTGCAGTTAGAAACTGCCGAATGCAGCCGATGTTCCTGATCTGGTAGTAACAGGATTTGGCAATAGCGTTCACTTGTTTCTCCGTGTTCAGAGAACTGTCAAAGTATATCCCTGGGTTTTTAACAGCTGGAACACTCTCAATAGTTCTGGCACCAACCTTGAGCTGGAGAGCCATTGTTTGCTGACACTTTGGGGAAAAGACGACTAGTTCCGTCTTTGCCTGATTAAGTTTAAGCACGTTGGCGTTCATCCAGATACTGATATCTGTTAGACAAGCTTCCAGACCTGTGGTTTTATGACCATGTAAATGAATATGTGCTTTATCATATCCTTTCTGTGATATCAAAATAAGTTGAAGTCTGACAAGCAACTTTTACAACGTTATATTTATTTAAATAAATATCCCTGTTGACATCTCTGACCCTCTGATCGCTGAAAAGTCATCACGTAAACAAATCATCATTATTCCACTATTTCATTTATTATAACAATAAATTCAATTGTAATCTAACAAACTGCATGCTATTTATAAGCTGTCTTGTGATTGATGTGATTGTGATGTAATTGACTAGGATAACTCCAAAGTTTTGGACAGAGAGAGCAATCTGTTTAATCGGCAGATAAAGGAAGCCATCTGAATACGCAGTAGAGGGCCAGTTCTAAATCGAGATGAGGGGGCTCATAGACTTGCACATCTATGACCAAGTATCAAACAAAGCGTAAATGAATAGAGTCATTTCGGTACATAAATAACAAATATTGTACATAAGCTTACAGCGTAGCTGAATTGAAATCGATTTTGTGGACAACTCGTACACAGTTTACACCTTTGTGTGCATACGCTTCACTGGTCATTTGTCTCATGAAGGTGGCAGTATACATATCGTACTAGTCATCGAAGCTTTTCATATACAATCGTATTGGTTGTGTAAAAAGAACTTTTCATAATCCATACTTACCAACCTTAAGAAAATAGGTAGAAATACTGTCTTAATCATTAAACAATGTCAAACGTATAATAAATGTATGGACTAAATTACTGCATTTTGAGAATATCATGACGTTGTTATTGGAAAGACGTCATCAAGGTGATTTTGGCATACGCTTTATAAAAATAGTTGCAACGAGTCAATATAACAAAATAAAAGATCTTCAACTAAAAACTGTAGGAATCATATCCACTATATAATGCAGTGAACAGCCATATACTGATTATACGTAATCTTATAACCATGGAAATGTAATGTCTATTTCAGTAATTAACACATATTTGTCCTGTGGTGCATTATGGTAATTCACCAACGTGTCGCTGTCACAGTGTATATCATACCCTGGTGACATTACGTGAAAATCATACCGTGTCATTCTAATGTTTGCATTTGCAAAACGCGAGGGGTTCAGGAAGAGATATGGTTTGATGGAACATTACAAATGCACGTTCAGGTCTCATTGTTGCATAAATCAGGGTCACTAACCACTGATTAGTGTCGTTTCATCGCCGAATACCCTTTTGCAGATAATTAGTATAACACATGTAACAAAACATTAACATACGGTTGTATCACCTGCAAAATAAACTTTAAAGTTATCTGTTAAAAGTCAATACAAGAATATATTTATGTGTACAGTTATTTTTTCACATAATACATAGACTAAGTATCACTTTTATACAAACCTTGTTTAATATGGCGCTTTATTCGATACACAATTCCTTATGCCCAAATAAGACGAATCGAGCAACTGTACCAATAGTACAGTTCATTGTCCTTATTGACATCACACTGTATTCCTGCTTAAAATAACGCATGAAAAGGTGTATAGCGTAATTCTTGGACCAGTCGAAATTGTTCTGGAATAAATCCTTTGTATGCACGGCATCCGGGCGAACAAACGTTTTGTTTTCAACATGAATCAAACGCGGATGGATTTTGGATAATTTATAAGGCATAATTGTTGAATGAAAGCCCCACTTTTTAGGATCGTACGTGTCATATGCTTTAATCCAGACATGTAGAAATTCCGCGTTTGTAGCAGAGAGTATCAAACCATTGCTGAGGTTGAAATCGAAAGCTTTACTTAAAGTAAAATTATGACGTCTTAGTGGATCCAGCGTTCGTAGCAGTACCTCATCCGTGTCCATGTATATACCACCATACTCTGAAAAGATTAGAGAGAAACTTAACAGTAACGTTAAAAAACAGTCATTGCTTCTCCTAACAGTTGATCTAAAAAAACATATCAGTAATGGGATATCTTGTTTCGTACAGCTGGTAGCAAACTTAGCTTTGCAATCTAGTGCACTGGAGTTAACAAGCTTATGAACTGGGGTTAACTGCAATGTAAAAGATCAGTCTCTATACCATGATTTAATTGGTTTCTATAACATATTGATAGTCGTAAAATATTACATGGTATATAATTTCATACTAAAAATTATCGAAGTATTATTCTTATTTTAAATATTTATTTACTAATCGTATTCCTTGGTCACTTAACCATACTGTACCAACTATAGACATTCTGTTATTTACTCTGAAAAAGGAGCGCTGGGGTCCTTGCTACAAATGCACCCACATATGCACCAATACAGTGTACGTATCATGCACATTGATGTATTCAATTTAGATATTTGAAGGTATTCTATCAACTAGAACTTCTCACTTTCATTTTCAATTTTTAGATTAATGAATGTGATGATACATCAGTTTTCTTCCTTAAATAGATGAAATTGTTTCCTGCACAAATGTGTTTGTCCAATCAATTATTGGACTCATACATACGTGTTGTTTGTAAATCAAGCAGAGTCCACTCCAGCAGTTGCCATTTTTTATATGTAAGTTAACTTTGATAAGAAAACATCACAGGACCTGGGACTCACTTTAGCCATAGATTCTGAGCACATATTTCATGAAACATATAATATACAATATTAACTAAAAATATTTTAAACTTATAGCATATAAAGGGTGTCCTGCACCTTTTAATTCACTTAAGATTGAGAGAGATTTGAAATAGCCAAGTTTGAGATGTGTCCAGAATCCGTGCAAAACTCAGTATAAAACAAAAGGAAAGTACAGGATGTAGTGAATATGCAATTTATGTAAGTCTACTTAAATGAGTTAAGTTGTAAATTTCAAGCCAAATATATATATTAGAAAGGAAATTATTGAGAAAACAAATCACTTTTCAATTGAAAATGACCTCAAAAAAAAGACTTAAATGTTATCCTTCGTTTTATATAAACAATCTTTAAGTGACGATTGAATTTCTGTTATTCTTCATTCCGTTACAAATGCTTGTTTAATTCATATATGTTTTCAAAAACAGAAATGGTATTATTTTGGTTTTTAAGTTCGTTTTGAAAACAGCAACATATATTTGTGATTTACCCACTTTTGGTCAAACATTTACCTTAATTTTCCCGCATGTCATACAATAGACGTCTTTGAACAAAATAAGGAGGTGAAAAACCGAATATACCGGGGCTCAAAAAAAGGGCCTTATAGACACTCATCCTTTACATAAATAAAAGAAATTAAAGTATTTCTGCAATTTTGTGGTGATTTTTCCAAGTTTTTCCTTTCCAACACTATAAATATAGAGCACATTTTTGTGCTACATAGCTACACAACAACATAACTACATAATACAGGGAACGTGCATACGAAAGTAGTGTATGTTACATATAAAGGTTGTGTTTTTAAGAGTCTAGAATGGTTTCTAAGATAACAACTTGTATGAATACTTCGAGACAAAGACTCAATATTTATCAATAGATGCAATTTCCAACTCTTTACCATTGTAACCTTTAGATAAAAAAAATCGAACTATATGCCTTCATAACAGTGTCGGATAAGTAGGCCTATTCTCAATTAAATAAACTTTAACATGAGTGTTCGGCGATGGTTTTTAAATTTTGATGGAATCAAAACAGGTCCACACCGTTCACTACTGGAAGCATATCCCATGAAATTCCTGTGAAAACCCCATTAAAAAGCCTGGATGCCATTAATAAGGCATTGACATGTCGTCGATTTTTTTTTCATGGGCTTGCCTAAATGCCATGAATATAGTTGTTCATGGCCTTGAATACCCCATGAATCACACATACATCCCCTTAAACTTCAATGAATATAGTTGTCTGATACGAGTGTCAAGAACCATGGCCATGATTTCTCGTCGCAAAAAGTAGTGATGATCATATTATGGCCCTGAACAAATGAAATCATGGCCATGAATTCCGATGGTGTATTTCATGGCATTGAAATTTGGAAAACCACTGCCATTAAAATTAGTTGCTCTAAAAGTGTCCGAGATACCAGATAGTTCAGGGCCACGAAGAAAAATATCATGGCGTCCAAGTAAAGACATGAAGAATGCATGGCCATGAAAAAGTAATTCCACAGCTTGTAATTAAGATCATAAATTCATGGCCATGAATTTTTCAACAAAGGCCATGATATATATATATATATATCATCATAGAAATGTTTAATATAATATTCACCATGTTCATGGCCATGAATATTTACAGATTTAATTAGGGTATATCATGGTATATATATGTTGGAACGATTCATCATATCACAACACGAGTGTACATTTGGCACATCACGATAAATGTACTTCGTAAATACGAGAAAATATGAACTTTTACAAGTGCACATGGCAATAATGTTAACACGAGTAAAGTACATGTAGATAGAGTGACTTTAATTTCCTTAGCGTGTTAACAATATTTTTGACGACTCATGAAAGTACCCTCATGAAAACAAATGCTGATTTTTACTGAATTTTGCTGAGGATTTGCTGAACAGTTGCTGAAAATTTGCTGAAACTAAAATCGGATGCTGAACCACTGCTTACACAGTTTCTGCAGCTGCTGAATTTTGCTGAATTATTCGGCAATATGCTGAAAAGTGCTGAACTGTTCAGGATAATGCTGAAAAGATACTAACTATTCAGGATAATGCTGAAAAATGCTGAACTCGCTGTTCTGTAAAATTTGTAAGCCATTATTGTTTTCGAGAAAGTTATTGTGTCTTTGTATTGGATGGTAAACCAGATCTTATTAGTTCCTTAGATATATAGATCTAGATGGCACAAACTTTTCATGGCCAGGAAATTATATGTAGTTTTAATCCGTGTATTTTTCATGGTAGGATTTTTTATTTTTATTTTCATGGCCATGGAAATTGCAAAAAAAAGACCTTTTTCATGGCAAAAAAATCATGGGCCATGAATTCGGTCATGTTTCAGGTTGTTTTTTTTAATGGCCATGAATTTTGATGTTTCATGGGCCATACATTTTTATGTTTCATGTGCCATGAATTTCCTTGACACACGTTTATGTCATTTTTTCGTGGCTTTGAATTTCTGTTTTTTCATGGCTGAAAAAAATATTCATGGTAACAAAAATAAGGTCAAAAATAAGGTCATGTTTCATTGGCTTTTTCATGGCTTTTTCAGGGCATTCATCTCATGGTAATTTCATGGCTTTTTCATGGCCATATGTACAGTAGTGATTTGCGCTTCATATCAATCATAAATAGGTACAAAATGAAAAATGTGCCAAGAGCAATACGGTTACAAGATATGGATATAAACAAAAAGGCGTAACGTTAATAACTAATTAATAATTAATTCATAATTTCCCAACACTCTTACCTTTGTTATATATATTTGACTAAAAAGCAAATAAGTTTGCATTTATTAGCAGCTTTTTTGTAGAAAAGTGATAATATAATTTTCCTGCTGAAAGTTGAAAGCGAGACCTTTAAATACTAAGTACACCGTAATTTAAAACGTTGGTAACGAGATAACAAATATATAAATGTAAGAAATCTTGTCTTGTGAATTAATAGAGGGCCCGAAGGGCCAGTGAGAGCGAAGCTCTCCCTATAGGTAACACGTATGTAAGAAAAATAAAGATTATTCACAATACCTATGGAACTGAAAAAAATGTCTTAACATGGCCGCCAGTCACACGCGCTGTAGTCTCTGCCATCTTGATCTCGAAACAAGTTCTCGTTTGCCGAATCTCGAACAAACGATACATTTTTGTAAGATTTAAAACTTATATCTAACTATAGGATACTTAAATAGTTAATACTTTCCGGTTAAACACGTAAATTCTCTTGACATAACTTTACCGGCTACATTTCGCTAGTTCTGAATGGTCGAAAAAATATTTTGTCGGTAGTGTAGTCTCGTTTAATCAGACGCTTGCGAGGACAACAAGAGTCTGGTTGAACAAGACAATCTGTAGTGGTATCAATCTCCACGCAGAGTTACGGTCATTGCACTCCCTACGACAACTCTGGGTAGAGATTGCAGTGGTATATATTTAGAAAACGGAATTTCAACAAAACAACGTGCTGGTTGTCAAGAGAGTTTATCACAGTGACGCAAAATGATACGATCAAAAGCCATACAATATTTTTTTAATTGATATTTTGCACGAAAAAAAAATGGCGGGGCTCGTTATGCCATCCAATCTTCCGACAGGCAAAGTTAAATAATGTTCAAAAACGGACGTGCTGCCATACTTCCTAGAATGGACTTTAATAAAAAAAAAAAAAAAAAAAAAA